TTGAAATGTGTATTTATTTGGTTGAGTTGGTAGCAAAAGTTCCTTAATTGTGTCATCTGTAAAGTGATGGTCAAAAATGTTAAACTGATTTTAAGAAACACATATATTGCTTCCCTTCTCATCCCTCTGAGAAGCAGGTGCTGGTGGCAAAGGCCAGTGCTGACTAGTTGCCAGAAGACAAAATTAAACACATCTTCCCACAGATTATTCTAAACTGAATTTGGCTACCAATTCCTGTGGCAGGAGTGCTTTAGTAAGAATTTTTCATACACTACTTATCTAGTTTATTTCTTTTTCATATTATATTAGTTCTTAAGCATGAAAATTTTATTTTTAAAAGCGTTATAGCAAAAATCTGAGAAGGATGACTCATGTAGCCTTAGAGAAAATACTGGATGTTATCTCTGAAACACAAACGTTTCTTCTAGCAGATCTTTCTCTGTAAGAGAACAGGCAATGTTTCTGTTGCCATGGTATTGCAATTAATATTTAATTAACAGCAAAAGACTTGGATGATATTTTTGTCAAGGACTGTATTGAATTCTGACTTAAATATCTATAATATATAAATGATACATTTAGTATGTACCTTAAAATAATCTTTCCAAACTTACAAATAAAATAGATCTTGACAATCTATTTATTTTTTTTTGTTGTGTTAGTAAGTGGTAATGAAATACCAACATGCTTACATATCACCATGAGGGAATTAAGCATTTTGTCAAGCTTTACTGTCTTGTTTTTGCTTTCCTAGTTTTTCCAAAAACAATGTTGTACAGTGTGAAGAAAACTGCGTTTCATATCCTGAGAAAGTTTTCATATTAAAAAAAAAAAAATTGGTGATGCTGAAAATTGCCCATTTTTTCCTTTGGATCAATATAGATATTCTGCCTTCTTTTTTTTTTTTCTTTTCTATTTTTAATGAAATGACAGAAAGTATAGTAGTTATTTTTTTTTTTATTGCTACTTTAAAAATTGAACTAGGAGAGAAGATGAACTGTTAGGCTATGGTCTCTTATTACTGCTGTTATACTTCAAGAGTGTTTATAAGACTGCTATGCAATAAGAGAACTTGGATTATTGACTAGTGTGCATGAAATTAATAATGGGACTAATTCACATGATAAAAATTTTACGTATGTGCTTGTGTGGCTGATATAACTGATATGAGAAAAATGTGTCAGAACTGACCTGAACAGCCTTTTATCTATACAGTCCCTAAACAACAGACTAAAACAGAAAGTAGAAGTCGAAGGAATAGGAACGTTTCAGTTACAGGGAGAGAAAGGGCCGTTGAATTTCTGTGAGTAAAGGAGGGAAGAAGGGATTACACTTCACTTACAGTTTTAAATGCAGGGTATTTGGCAGTTTGAACATACGTAACTACTTTGAAGATAAAATTTGAAAATATATAAATATATAAATAGATATTTAATCTGTTTGCTTTCTAATTATTCTGATATAGTTGAATTTCATGTTTGTTTTATGAAGTGATATGCAGGCATTTGAAAACTGGTGAGATATGCATCTGAAGGTATTTTTTATAGTTACTACATTAAAGAATCCTAAAACAGGGTATTCTTTCTTTTATTTGTTGGCTAGTATTGAGATTCAAGCTGAAGGGAACAGAGAATATTACAATACAATTTTAAATCATGGCTAAAAATGCCAACTTAAAAAATGTTACTAAGAATCATGTATGATTTGAGTAAGATCAGAGCTGTGCAATGTAAATTTTGAAACTTCTGCAGCCTTGTGAATATTGAATTTTAAAACTTTTTTTTAATCAAAGGGAACATATGGCCTATCAAACAATTAAGATTTCTGGAGGACTAAAGCAATTCCCATGTTAATTAAAACCAGGTTATTCTAGTTGATTGAAGTAGATCAGGAATTTTACATAGTAAAGTGTATCTGAAATAGGCGTCATCAGGAATAATTTTTATGGTCATCAGGCAGTTTGCAGGTTTTTTCATGTCTATTGAGTTTGTGATGCAACATGTCTGACAATACCTGTATGTATGTACAGTTAGTATCTCTTATCAATACATGGGATCTTCTCTTGATAATTATGTGTAGAATTAGTCCAGTAATGTAATTGTCTGTAGAACTTAGTCCAGTAATAAATGTTGCCTTGTAGTTGAATGAGGGATTGCCGGGAAATTGTTTATTCTGCTGAAGGATTTTGTTAACCAAAGATGGAATTCTTTAAGTTCTTACACATTTTGCCGTCATTTCAGAAAGAACTTGTTGTGATGAACTGTTCTGTGTATTAAAATGTCTGTACTGTGTTTGACTGGTAGCCTCTGCTTTCTTTGCTCAAAGGCTGCAAGCCAGTCATACAAGAAAGGCCTAAGGCAAATGATGGACAAAAGGGGCAGAAGAACTGGCAGAGGAAAAGCAGCGACATTTGAGCTTATTGTGGGAAAGGTCTCATTCGCATATGGCATAATTGCATAGCAGGTTACTAGAGCAATCCTGCTAATGGTCAAGCAGTTTTGAGGTATTAAAAAAACCCCATATTTTTCACTATTCAAGAGTGATGTCCAGTGGGAAGATTTTTAGATAATTAAATAAGTTACATTTTCTTTTATTTTGAATTTAGATATACCTGTTAAATATATTGCAGTTCTCTATGTATAGGCTGTTCTAGACAAGTATCTCCTTCCCACAGGAAAAACAGAGTTCTGTATATAGGATGTATTTACTATTCAGAGACTGTTAGGTGGGTTGTTTATAGGAGAGACAAATTATTGAATCCGTGCTAGACTTAATCAGGGCACCCCAGTTAAAGTTGAAGGGTTATTATGACTTGTACTTTTCAGTAAAGATAAAAACATGAATTTACTCCAAAGTATAATGAGATAATAACAGCAATATGAGAGACTTGCTACATAAAAGATTTTTTTTATTCTGAGCAGATCATTGCCTTTAGTATTTGATTATATAGACAGAGTGTATATGTGTGGTTTTGTTTAGTGATGTGTATCAGTTAGCTTTGCAGAGTTTGATACGTCTTTCTAAAGATGAATTGATGAATTTGGTCACCTCTTTAGAAACTTCAGTCTTCATTCCTTGCCACTGTACAATGTGTAATCCCCTTGCTCATGGCACTCACTCTGAGGTAAATCAGTAGGTACTGTCACTTTAAAAAGAGACTTATGTATGACTTTCCTTAAAAATTAATGTAGCATCAGAACCTAAACATCCCTAAGAGGTGTAAAAATACCTGGGAATGGAAGTATTATTGACAAGAGTGGAAAACAGCTCTTCTTTGAAATTAGCAGGAATCTTTCGGAATGCAAGATTTTTTTTAGGCATCCTGGCCCTTAAAAAGGCTGGTATATCTTAAATCTGTGGAGAGGCTCTTCATTGTAGAAGAGAATATTTCAGTTAGAAGGGACCTACAGCAATCATCTAGTTCAACTGCCTGACCACTTCAGGGCTGAGCAAAAGTTAAAGCATGTTATTAAGGGCATTGTCCAAATGTCTCTTAGACATTGACAGGCTTGGAGCATTGACCACCTTTCTAGGAAGCCTGTAGCTATAGTGGCAAGGTGGAAGGGTTATCTGTCAGTTACAGATATCTATGTATGGGAAGTGTTTGGATAGTATTATCAGGTGCTATCCAGATAATAGTGAAAATGGCTTTCCTGGGACCTGGGTACCCTGACAGGGTTTGTTCTGCTTAGAAGAGGCAGCAGTGGATTAATGGAAGGTGTCGTGCTCAGCTCTGTGATATGCTGGTGTTAGAGAGCAGTAGGAAAGACACTCAAAGAAGAGCTTTTGTCAGTGTGTGGTAAGCCGGACTGCTGTACTTCCCTGGAGCTGTTAAGGTTCCTGCCATGATTGTTCCTTGCTGACTCGTTGAGAGGGAAGCAAAACAACATGAGGTTAAGGAAGGTCCATGTTTCATTTCATCAAAAGGCTCTTGCCATTCTTGATGTGACAGCAGCACATGGTGGTGTGTTGCTTGTAAAGCAGTCAGAACTGGTACATGTAGTTTGAGATATTAAGCAGTGAGAGACAGGAATCTTCAGAGCAGAGGAAGAGGTAACCTTGTGGCACTGAAGGTAGGTGGTGACATCTTCAAGGAAATGAGATGCAGTAGCATTTTTGAGGGTAAATTCTGTGTGTGGACTTACCATATTGTTAAGCTTTTGAGTTGCTGAATGCTAAATAAACATTACACATCCTTTTGATTCAAATATACGTGTGATGAGGGGTTTGAGAAACTGTTTTTTTCTCTTTATATTGCCTGGCAGGTTACAACCATAGAGATGTGTAGAATCAAGAGCAAAACGTTTATAAAAATACTTTTAGGATGGACTTTATATGATTATAATTAATGTATTTATGGATTTCAGTGGTGCCTGATGTTGACGAGAGGAAGCTGTAAAGAAGAGGAGTGTGGTTAGAGGAAGAAATAAGAGTGACTGTGTTCTTCATGCATGAGGCCACTGTTGTGTTGGACTATGTGTCTGGAGTTGGGATCCCCAGTTCAAGGAGGATGTTGAAAAACTGGAGAGGGCTCCAGTGGAGAGCTGCCAAAGTGCTGTAGGGTCCAGGGCACATAAGTACCAAGGAGCAGTTCCCCTGGGCGCCGCTTAAAACTCTTGAAGAGCAATTGCAAATATGAAAATTTGTGTAACTCTTCTTGGTAGTGGCAGATGATATAACATGAGCCAGTGGCCTCACACTGTGGCTTGGGAGGTGCAGGTTGAATGTTAGGGTCAGCTTGTCCTCCAGGAGGAACAGGATTGCTGGGGAGGTAGAGGATTTGCCATGTTTGGAGATTTTCAAGACTCGGCTAGATAAAGGCGTGACTGACCTCATGTTACCTTGGCAATAGCCAGGCTTTGAGTGGGAGGGTGGAGGAGATGACCTCCAAATGTGCCTTCTGACCAGCAGTCTGTCATACTGTGACAGTCATTTGACTTGTAATACCTTGACTGGTGTTCAGGTTTTTGGTCCCTAAGGAGAGGCAGAGTTAGGAAGCTATGGAAGTGCTACATTTTTCCTACTCAGAACCTGGTTTTAGTAAAAAGTCAAATATATTTGACCAACGTTGCTTGCATTATTGACACATGAGTAGAACAGGACGTTAAAATAGGTGGATCTTAAGTACAATTAAATGAAAATGGAACAATTCATGAGTCTTTTTCAGAGAAATAAGGAATGGCACTAAGAACTTTTAAAATAGTGTATAGATGTTCAGTTGGTAATTTTAGGGGAGCTTCACTTTTTTGGACAGAGGCATTGGTCTTACCTTTTCACTAATAGAATAACTTGATTTTCTTAAAAGTTCCTTTTAATATTGACTTTCTGAAAAATACTAAAAGGAACTTGAGATTATTAGTTTTTTGAGATTATCTGATAGTCATAGATGGCTAAGTGCCGTTGACCATGACCAGTGTAATTTTCAAGGGAAAAATACGTGTGTGTGTGTGTGTGTGTGTATGTGTGTGTATACTGTGAATATTAGACTAATCGTCAAGAAGTAATCATCTCAAGTTCCTTTTAGTGTGCATGTGTGTATTATACATAAAAATAGTGAACACTTTGTGTTTTTTAAATGAATATTTTTTTTTTCAAATTTGGAGATAAAGTAACAGCAAATAAAAGGAAGAATTCAAACTTGTTACAGTATTAACGTATTGAGAATTGGTTGAGGTTTTCAGACACCTCAAAAATCAACATCCTAGTTAGAAGGCACAGCAAAAATGTTAGTTAAAAAAATAACTACAGGAGGTAGATGTTGGTAAATTAAAACTTCTATTTTGGAAAAGACAGCTATTTTGTAAAAAAAGAAAAAAAAAAGGGGGGGGTGGGGGTTATTCGTTCACATGAGCAGCCAAAAATGATTGGGAATGCAAAAATACTGTTAATATGGAGATTAGTGATAAAAAGGAAAACTTGAGTGTAGAAGGTACATGCAAGTCAATTATAAAGTAAGTTAAGTTCTAGAGAGGATGAGTAAATTGTTTGTTTTTGAGAAGCTTCCAGTAGAAATCTCTTATTCTTAAAAAGTTCTATTTACATTCAGCAATAAGGAAATTCAAGAACTGGATATTTTTACTTTTTTTTTGAAGGAGCTGTTTGAACACTTTTAAAATCACTGAGACTTGGTAACTTGGAGGAAAAATTGGCAAGTCTCTTAAGGGTTGTTCCACTTGCAAATGTTGCATTGATCAAATCTGGAAACACTGGAGAGGATTCAACATGTTAAAGAAAATAAACCTGACAAACCAATTAATTTACTGGAGTAGTATTAGGCTGAGTGTATTCTAATCTGTAAAATACTTTGCTCAGAATTACAAAAAATTGTGTATAATGTTGGATGACAGTATTTTAAATTTAGGATTATATTCCTTGATCAGAACTTTAAGTCCTACATTAATATTTATCATTTTTTCACTTAAACACTTGACTGGTTTTGTTTGACAAATGTATCTTGGGATATGTTTGTAATTGAAAACTTTATTTCACAGACAAGCCTCATAACCCCATGGTGAATGCTGGAGCAATTGTGATCACATCTTTAATCAAGGTAAAGAGTTAATTTTTAGTTTCTCGCAGAGTATTTTAATAGAATGTAGAAGAAGTATCGTGTATAGATTATGAACTGTTTTCCTTTTGTGTGTGCAGTATCTGATAGCAGTTTACTTGTTAGCAGGTAAACAAGCTGTGATGTTTGTGAAATAGTAACACTTCCAAACAAATGCAGCATTAGAGCAGCAATTTTTAAAAAGTAACAGTGCAGTTGGAAGACAGTCTTTTTCCTTAGTGTTTTTACTTTTATCTCTTTCTTTAACTGCACAACACTTGGTATTCTCTTGAGAGATTTGCCTCGTACTTGTTAAATGCTAAGAGTATATGCTCAGGAATATACTTTATAGCACTCAGAAATACGTTTCTGACTGTCTAATGCTCTTATATAGCATAAAGTTACAAGAGTATTTCCTGCTGTGCAGAAGAAATGGAAGATACTGTTGTTTGTGCAGGAGCAACGCAGCTATATTGGCACGGCAGTCTTAATACTGAATTTGTCCACTATTAACATCCTTTGCAACTAAATTATGCTTAACTTCCGTGTTACATGGTTTCTGCTGAGATATTAAATGTCCTTTCTTAAATGAGTGTGTTTGGAAACAGTTACTCATATTTTGCTAAGTAAACCATACCCAAATAATGACTTAACGTCTTTAGTCCAAGAATTGCAACTTTTGGAAAACTGTATTTTACTTTTCCTTAGAGTAGCTGTATATATCTCTTGAAGTTGTAAATGGCATAAATTTCATGTAATGTTAATGTTTACCAGATAATTTACTTGTATTTCCTGCCTTTTTTTTTTTTTTTTTTTTTTTTTTTTTTTTTTTTTGTAGCCACTGGTAAAAAAAACAATTTTCTTTTTTAAGGGTACCTGCTTAGAATTTTGGGGAACATATCAGTCCCCTGGAGTTTTGAAGTAGAAAACTTAAAATTGTTACTTCAGAGGTCTAAAAATCTTCTTTACAGCCTTGTTTTGGTTAAGTTTCAAAATCCACTAGCTACAGTATGTTTCCTACCTCCTATTTCCAAATTGTTGATTTTAAAATTACTTAGATCATGATTTTCTGTTATTTTATATTTAAAGAAGATGTAAGAACTCCTGCTTAAAGACATTTATCTTTAATAGCTGTAGGTGAAAGAAAATGGCCTTAAGTGTGACAGGTAAATTTATTCACATTTAATATTTTTTAAAGGTTGACTGAGCGTTGAAATTCACTTGGATAATAGTGAATTTTAAAATCTGACTTAACACATTTGTCTGAAATGTCAAAATGTTAGTCCTACTACAACCTGCCCTACTGGTCATAAGGCAAAACACAAGCATGTGCCTCTTGCAGAAGGCACATAGTTTTTGATAAATGGTGTACTTATAAAAAGATAACATGAATTTGTTTACTGCATGCAATTGTGATATTTGTTAGAAGGTTGGGGGATTGTTTTTGCTGGGTGGTTTTTTATTTTAATTTTTTTTTTTTTCTGTAATGTTCTTATGAAGAGTATTGCATTGCACTGACATTTTTGCATGTGGTAACTGCACGTCTAATGGACGCATATCATACTTACCACACTCCATTATTTGTTTTCAGTGTGATTAAAATGTAGATTATATTATGTATTGCTTCCACCAAGATACCATTTATCATTTGAATAACTAACCAAATTAAACATATTCTGAAGAAAATTACACAAGAGTGTCACAGTTACAAAGTTACTCAGTAGTTGTATCTTTTGTGAAATAACTTTACAATCTGCAACTTAATATTCCTACTATTTTGTGATTTAAGTAATTCACATTTATATTTGATCTAATCTAAGACTTAATTTTTCGGAAAAAGGTGGCTTCGTTAACCCATTTTTTCCCCTTAGTTCTTCTACATTCATTCTGCTTATTCAAGGTGTTACTTGCATATCTTGAAGACTGTGTACGGCTCCTAGAGTTCAAGAAAATTAAGGGATTATTAAATGTGGTGAAATTCACCATGTAGGATGGATTTATCTAATGATAGCATGTTGATAGCTGTGGAGAGATTGTTGCTGTATTTCAGTGTTAAGAATGCTTTTACCTCCTTTGATATTAATTATTTTATCTCTTTCTGATAAATTGATACGTCATCTTTCAAAATTGTACCGAATTTAGCAGCTGTTAGTATGCATGATCTTGCACACCGCTGTCCTTAGAATCTGCCATAGTTTAGGATTACTTGTGGATCGGAGATGACACTTGGAGTAATCTTTTTGTCAGAATATGTAATACGTTAACATTTTAGGGGAAAAAAGGGTTCTTAGCATCACATACCCAGTTCTGACTGCCTTCAGAATTTGGTGTGCACCCCTTGGAACAGAGCATAGACTTAAACTGTAATCTTATGTTTAGTCCTTGCTATTCATAGTAATAAATAATAAAGTGTATGTGCATGTTAAGTTGTACATTTGTTTGGCTTACTTAGGCATGACTATAAATAGTTTTACCAGGTTAAATGATTATTCTGCTGTCATATGCTTGGAACTACGATGTATTTACATTTACATTTTGGTGCCTTAACTCACAGCTCTGTTCTAACTGTACTCGCATTACACTCTGCAGACGGTTGCAGCAATTTAAAGCATGTGTCTACAATAAAAATACTTTAGCAATAGGATATCCTGCGGGCGAGTTTAATGAAATACAATTTGCAAAAACCCCTAAGAACCTTTTCCCTTGTTTGTAATTGTACAGCCATTTGCCTTTATTACTAGTTATATAAATTACATAGTTATAACAATTTACAAATAACTGTTATAAAAACAAAGTTTTAGTTGCAATTATAGGAGTTGGTGGAGAAGTGAGAATAGATAAAATGGAAAACTCTTTCATGTCTCCAAGCAAATGCAGGTGCTTGAAAGAAGGAGATTCAGCTCCTGTACAGATTTAGTACAGACTCAGTGTTCTGTAACCATTCTGCTTTCTGTATATCACATCGACTGGGAAAAGTCTTTATTGCCTGTAGTAAGGATAGATTTTAATGCTTTGATCTGTTGTTTTTTCTTAAACCTTAAACTCAGTTCTCAAACCATGTCAAGTCCAAGAATATCAGTGGTTGTGTCAGCAATTGCCCACTTCCACACATCTTTGCTGACTGGGGAGGGTGGTGTAATGGAGGTGCAAATCGGGTGGAAGAGGAAGGGTCCAGAGTGAACTAGGCAGAAGGTGGCAGTGGAAGGAATCACCAGAGAACAAGGGATTAATATTAAGTGATTTTTATTGTGTGCTTCAAGATTCTGTCTGTAGGTAAAAGCTTCCCTGGTGTAACAGCAGAGGTTTGGGCAGAGCAGTGTCTATAAATCCTGTAAGTGCTGACGACCACATGCACAGTCTTACAGAGACAGTGACGATAAGACTCGAATGCTTGGTGAAGGGAGGTGTTCTGTGCTAATGACTTAACATGGGAAGCATTCAGACATGTTGAGGGGGCATAGCAATATTCACAGTACTTGCAAAAAATTTGATATGCAAAAAAAGGAAAATGCTGCTCATACTGACCCTGAAAAAACTTAATGCAATGAAATCTTTTATTTTTTGTGCAAAACACAGAGGTGTATGCAATATACTTCAGAGCTTTCTAAATATGCTGATAAGTCATAAAATAAATGAGGCAAAGAGTGGTGGAAAAACCTGTCCATTTGTATCAAAGATCTGTTTGCTGTCAGGATACAGCTAATTAGGAAACCTATCCAGTTATGGTCTAATACTTGATGAGTGGGAAAACACATGGTTTATTTGGTTTATGTGACAATATAGTTACAATAAATAGTACAGATGTATCTTAATTGCTCTATGCTGCCCACTCCAGTTATCCCTCCTGATAGACTGATGTGTAAATGTACATACATACAACTTCAGAATGTGTTGGCATTGTAATCTTTTCTGCCAGACGCTTGTCTTCGTTTTGGTGAAATTTCCTCTCTTCCTGGGTTACTCGTTTTCTTTTGATAACTAATTACGGATAGAATGTATGATCACGTTATTCAGTGCTTTTTCATTATAACTCAAATGTATTGGATGACATAGAATATGTAGTAGTGATACTTGAAATGACATGTATTCAGTGGTCACATATGCAAGTATTTAGTATCTGAAGGACACAGAAATAATTCTTACAAGTATTTGAAATACTAGTAGTGATGGTCTTAGTGGATCAAGTACTGTCTGCCACAGTGTGCTGCAAGTATTGCAGAGCTGAAAGTGGCATGCTAAGCAGTCAAGGCACCAGTTCTCACAGAACAGGCCCAGCTTAACAATTAAAATTTAAAAAATGTGTGGGTACAAAAAAATAAAATAAAGACAGAAGTAGTTAAGTTAATGTAAAATGCACAAATGTAAAAAATATTTTCTTGCCCTCTGACATAGTGTTAGATTTTTTTTTTTTTCCTGGATGTTTTCATCACAGTGTAGTGTAGGGCTATAAATTTGGCTTTAAAAAATTCTAGAAATTAATTTTTAAACAATCCTTAGAAGATTGTTATTAGAAGATTATAAACTTCTCATGATCCAGATGTTTTTATTACTTTGGCTTAGATTCAAAATTGAAAAATTGCTTTAACAAGAGACACATGGTTAGAGCCTATGTGGTCTAATTATATCAATGTTTATCAATGAAAGTGGCTAATATTAACTACTTTTCTAATAAATATTGCCTAATTTTGTTGTTGCAAGCTCTTGGTAAGTATCCATGGCTCTCTCCTTTACAGTGTACATTTAGGCATCCCACCTGGGCAAATGCTTGTATTTTTTTCTAGTAGAAATACAAATAAGAAAAGTACCTCGTTTAGAAAATGAACAAACAAAATAAAACCAGGGAAGACCACTAAAACCTGACACAGTAAAAAAAATAAAATTTATGATCAACAGCTGTAGTGTCCATTGTGGTTTTGAGTGTTTACAAAATTGTATTGAGCTGTCTTCTGCAAGTTTGGATTTTCTGCCTATCAAACTGCTTCAATCTTAACATTTTCAGTTTCATTTTGTATTCATTTAGAAGTGTTTTTTCATATGTATATACACACAAGCATGTATACAGTAAGTGTGTATATGAACATATGTTCCAGTAAACGTACTGTTTGTGGAGTTAGTGCATGGAACATTTCCTTTGATGTCCTGGACAGATGAATTGCATCTGAACTTAAATAAAAGCGCTTTTTAAGAAGTGTTGTCTCAGTACCCCCAACCTTGTAAGCTGATAACAATCAAGCTAAAAATAAGAAGCACTTGGGCAAGAACAGAAGTTTTCTTGTCTCTTCTATTTGTTTAAATTGTTATGGAAAAGTTACTCAGTATTTTTAATGTTAGGATTTTATATTTGCAATTGGATTTTAATTATAGAATGTGTGTTGCCTCTGTGTCTCTTCAGCTTTTTAGGAGGAGCAGCATACCTCTGTCAGCTGCTGAAAGAGGGAAACTAATATGTTGGGTTTTTTAGTCATCATCTTGTGTATGGAAGCAAAGTTTTCTGGTTTTGTTATGCTTTATGTTAAATCCATACTGAGGTCTTGGTCATATGATTACTTAGACTAATATTTTAGGTATATGAGCGCTCTAATTTCAGTAACAATGCTGTTGTGTTTGATTATGAAGTACCTATACAAGTGTTTGGAACATCAAGGACTAAAAGTACATCATCTGAGTTAATATGCAGAAGATTTTCTTCCCAAAATGCGAGATGAGATGTAAATTTTAAAAAGGAACCTTTTTTTTTTTTTTTTAAGAAGTTGATGTGGAATAAATTTGCATTGAGTCTTTTGCCCACTGATTTTTGTATGCTGCTAGTAAAGCCAGGTTTTTGTTGAAGGGTAGGAATTTTTTTTCGACTGGGCAAAAAAAAAAAAAAAAAAGTGAAGTATTATGTATTTATATTTTTGCAGAAAGCATGATCCCTTTCTCCCTCTTTCTTTTTTTTAACAAAAGAACTTGTTTCAATTTATTATTCATGTCTAACCATACAATTATCAATACAGCATCCCATAACTAATGCTGACCCAATTTCCCAGAAAAAGATGTTCATTGTGCATTTGAAAGGTTGAAAAGGTTTTTGTGGTTTAAATGTTGTTACATATTTTACAGCATTAGGATCTATGGAATATTTTGACAACTGCAACAGTTCAATGAAGTTGGTAATTTCTTCTTTTAATTATTTTTCATTGAACAAATTTGGAGTTAAATTTTTAAGACTTGTGTTCTGGTATATTATACAGGAACATTTTGATGAAATGTATCATTATTTTTTTCTTTATCTTAATGAAATTAGCTAGAGATTATTGCCTTTAAGAGTAAGGTTATTAGCTTTTAAGCATAAGGTAACCACTGATGCATAATTTTGACAAAACAGTGTGGTGTTCTCAGCTAGTGATTGTACGTGTGTGACTGCACATCCTCTTGTAGATGAGCTGATGCATGGGCTGCAAAGATTATCTGCAACACCCTAATCCACGTAAAGAGTGGGAAATGAGACTGGCTTTACACATTTCATTAAGTAAAATACTGGTTGATATAAAGCTTCAGTTTTTTCCACTGCCTTCCCCATTCTCATACTAAACACAGTGCGAGTAGTGTCTTGAATAGTTTGAGATATGTTAAACAGAGTTTTGTTATCTAAATAGAATATCTTTAATACTAAAATTATTTATCCAGATACATTGTTTCCAGTTGTGTATATGATGCCATTGTTTTTTAAATTTCCTCAAATAAATCAACTTGGCTACTTTAAAAAATTACAAACTCTCCCCAGTAGACCATGCACTATTTTTTTATTTTTTTTTACTTCCCACCCTGCTTTCAACATCTTGCTATAGGAATTTGTGAAAGGTCGCCTGTCAGAGCCCTGTAAAGAATTAATACAACTTTAACTGGCAGCTACTAAATTTGGGAATGTTCTTAAACAAGAGGAGGGGGGGGGGAAGCACCCCAAAATAACACCCCTCCTTTTCCCTCCAAAAAATAAACCAATCAACCCTAAGAATTAAGTTTCACTAGCATCCTTATTAAGTTGAATTTAGATTTTTCCTTACATTGTTAGCACAATGATATCTACTCTATGATGTGAAATTCTGTTTTTTTATCAGTTTAATTTTTAATAGGTAAGACATTAATCAAGTATTAATCAAATCAGATTTTTTTTATTAAATGCTATTATTTTCATAGTAAGGGGTAACACTTTATTTTAAGTCTTCAATCTAAATTCTTAGTATGGGCACTAGCAATGGAAATATTTTAACTTCAGTAGCCTGAACTTTCCTATGCTCAGCTCTGTTGGTAATATAAGAATACCTTTGGGTTACTAGTCTGTAAAAAGTTAGTGTTTTCATTATAATTATCCTGACTAGTTACTTTTGTACTTTTTACTTTAACTACTACATTTACTTCTGCTAAACATGTGAAGCTGAATAGAAAGCACTTAAAATAAAGCATACCTTTTTCAGTTTAAATTTGTTTCCAACATACAGGTGTTTGATAAGAGTCTTATAGGATTATTTAATTTAAATGATAATTAAAGATTTAGTTATCTAACACTTTAATTTTTCATTAATATATGAAATTATTGTAGTACCTTATTCGTAATTAGCCTCATACCTTAGTTATATGCATTAAAAATCCTAAAACTGTTAAGTGAACTAACTTCTTTCTTACATTAACAACAATTTTTGTAAATTATTTTTTCTTTTCTTGCAGCAAGGAGCAAATAATGCAGAAAAATTTGACTACGTAAGTTAATATTATAACATTCCTTTTGTAACTAAATTCAGTAGTAAAAGTCTCAAAATGGCAAGACAATTGCAAGTGAAATTTTAGTAATTTCAAGTGTTTTGTCTTTTTATCTGTATTTGGTTGTTTAAACATGTAGTGATTTGGATTGCATTTGTAAAATTGTATTACAAGTTTTAGGGTAAGGCTGGTTTGAAAGTTCATCAGTTACTTTTTAATGTCTGAAAATGTTAGCATGCTTTCCCCACCCCCCTCTCTATCTCTTAACAGGTGATGCAGTTCATGAATAAAATGGCTGGTAATGAGTATGTTGGATTCAGTAATGCTACGTAAGTATTTTTGATTTACTTAATTAAGTTAGGTGAGAAATGTCTTAGCTGGTAGTTGGCATATTGAGTTTATGGCAAAGTTATTCACATTGAAACCATCACTTCATCCCTAACATTAGAGGATGTCTTTGGCTTAATAGTTACAAGAACTGTAATTGTGCATGTCTCTGACATCAGTGTGGCTAAATCTCACATAAAAGTGTTGGTTACCTCTTTGAAATGTCATTATTCTATCTTAATGCTCTGTCGGTGCAATGGCAGTGAGAGCTGTAAGTGCAACTCTGATCTTCCTGGCATTCATATTAAAAATTAAACTCTGCACGTTGACGGCTGCGTATCAAATGTTTAGAAAGCATACTTGATGCAACTGGGACTCTTTGTGCTTTTCTACTTTGCATATTTAAAATACTTTCTAAAACAGTTCCCCCCATTAACTCAATGTATAGCGTTCTAAAAATTTTGAGAGCTTTTTGAGGCAGCAGTGGGAAAATCATAAAGGTTCCATATAGTGGAGTTGCTAATTGGCGTGCACGTGCAGAGCAGCAGAATGAGGTAACTAGTGTTTTTTTCTGAGCTTTGTTAATGTGAAAGTGTTTGCCGTGGAAGGAGCCAGACAGGTGAGAATTACCTACCCCTGTGTCCATACAGATTCCTTCTTTAGGTTTCATCCTGAACTTACTCATCACAATAAACGTTGCAGCCGTCAGTCTGGTCGCTGTTTGACCTGCAGCTTAATCCTCAGGTTCCTCTCGGGTTCGGTCAGTGTTGTCATGGAAAGACCCTTTCACTACAGCTTGTTGTGGGATGTTGCATTCCACAATGGCCTTTTTAGAAAGGCTTCTAAGAGCAGGATCTGGCATTTCTTTGCCTTACCTCCGAGTCAGCTTATGATGTGAAGGTAACCAGTACTGTCTGTACTTGGATGTCAAAGCTATTCGCTCCAGCTGGGTGTACTGGGGTGAGCTTCTATGGCAGTGTCTGTCCCATTAGTAGAACGTTTGTGTTCAGAAATAACGTATCCTTTACATGCAATTCTATTGAATTACATTTTGCATCTCTGAAGTTCTAAGTTTTTTGACAGTTTGACGTGTTGTCCTGTCTTTCTTACTTTATTTTTTTAAATTTATTTCAAGGTTCCAGTCCGAAAGAGAGAGTGGAGATAGAAACTTTGCAATCGGCTATTACTTGAAAGAAAAAAAGGTTGATCTCTTTTGTTTATTGTATTTTGAAGGCTCTGTGGTGGGGGTTTTTTTCATAGTCTGTAAACACTTTTAATTTGTTTAACGTACAGTATGGGATAAATTACTCTATTGCTGTATATTTTTTCATATTGTTACTCAAAATGCTGTCATTGAGAAAGTGTGATACTTATGTTATTCTAATAGAATACCTGTAATCTTTTTTCTGTATCATAGCCATGATAAGTTTTTTTTTTTGTTGTAAAATGCATAATCTGTGCTGTACAGATGGCTTTATAAAACTCCTAGATGCATTTTACAGTTTGCTGATTTAAAGATGTTGAAAACTGTGCTAAAATTTCTTTTAATACCTAGCTTACCAACCCCACTGCACTGTTATCTTTAAATCTGATGTTTTAATATTAAGTATTTAAATAAATACTTAATTTTAAATCTGCCTAATTCTTAATATGCTGACAAGAATCTAGCTTGATTTATGTATCTCTAAAAGCAACACTTTAAAAAAAAAAAAATCATCATTTTACCTAAAGCTTCTCTTTATTTTTTTTCCTCAGTGCTTTCCTGAAGGCACGGATATGGTTGCTATACTAGACTTCTATTTTCAGGTAACTGACTTTAAAATTGAGACTCATTATAGACTTAGAATTATTATTATAAGCAGTAGAAGCTGATATGTTCATAGATATGAAAGCTTTAATGGCTTATAGTTAAACTTGTCAGCTTCTGTTAGACTCTTACTTGGAAATGAATGATGTACATTTGATGTATCCAGATTTGCTTTTGTTTAGATGATGAACCTAGATGTCTTTATTGCTAATGCAAGCTAGCAATAGTCCTTAAAACACCAGTAGTTTGAAGCTTAAAATGTCTTGTGTTATTTCAGTGAGTTTGACAAAATATTTCTGCTTCTTTGGATTGCTGCTTTTTATTGTACTGTGAAGTACTTGAAAGTCCGTTGGTAACTAAAATAGTCTATGCATGCTCTATTGTAAGCTTGAGTGGTGTTATAAATGAAATAATATGAATATCTCCTCCTTTTTGTTTAATTCAATGCCTATGAGTAAAACAAAGAATCTAGTAATATATATTCTCCCCGCCCCCAGGTTTTTTTTTTCCACTTTCATCAAGCTATTTGCAACTGTTACAAAATGAGAATTTGGCAAGTGTGAGGTATTTCCTCAATAAGGTTTTCCTAATGTTAACACATTCACAACTCAGTCAGCTCTGCTGCATGTAGTTCTCAAGAGGCAGTTCAAGTTGTGTCAGTGATTCTGTCAGGTTTTTAGAAAAAAAAATAAAAAAAATAAAAAAAATACGGAGTTTAGTTCTCAAAATGAAGCTGTTTTTGATTCATGAGACTTGGTTTTACTTATGCATATTATAAACAATATATTTTTAAATGCAGATTTTATCTGAGTTTTTTGTATTGGAAGGCACTTGCTCTAATCTCTAAATTGAATGGCTGTTTATAAAATGAAGTATATGTCATTAGCTTTAGTTGTCCTCTTGTTGAGTTGGAAACTAGGTACAAGCTAATAGTCTACTCTGAATTTCTGTTACTGCAGAAAAAAATGATATTTTTTTTAATATACTGTTTAAACATGCTTTTTAAATGCTTCCTATCCCACTGCCTCAAGTACTTATACGCTTCTGAGTGCAAAGCTATTTGTAGGTTAAAGAAATGCCAAAGCTAATTTTTCATTTTTCTGATGTATTTTAATCTGGCCTCATTTTCGTACATTATGATCTCTAATTTTATGACTACATGTAATTTTTTTTTTCCCCTTGCAAAATTCCCTTTTCAATCCCTACTTGGAAAAAGGTCAGCTCATACGTGAGCAGCAATTCTGTTTTCTTTTCTTCTCACTGTACAATGCTTGCTTTCCAACACTCTACTGAGATTCTACTTAAAAGGCTAGTTATTTCTTTTCTTTGGGACTTCTGTAATGCTCCTTCTTCCCTTGGGTAATTGGGGACTTTCTGAACAGGAATAAACTTATTTTTCTGTTGTCTCTGTAAAGGGAGGATGGATTATTCTCATTTTAGAGAACTGAGGTACAAAATGCAGGTGGTTAAACTGAGAACCTAGAAACACTTTTTTTCAAAGTAGGTGATATTATGTAATACTTCATATGTTTAAAACACAGTTGCCATTTTAGATGCGTCTCTGACAATCTCTTGATTTGCAACTCCAGTTGATTGGACTAGGATGTATTGAGTTTGGCACCCGGAAAATAAGAATTCCAGGTAGTAACTACTCATGCAAACTTGGCTTAGGTAACTTCATGAAGTATCATGTAATGACTGTTTGGCAAAAGCAAGAATACAAGCACTAGTTTGTTTACTTTTCAGAGTAGCATTTCAGCTTCAGGTTGAAACCAGCTTATCTTTTGGTTTCTGCAGAAATGAGACAGCATCAGGTGATGGCATCATATCACATTTCCTGATGTGTCACCAAAGTATGTATAGTCTGTACTGAAGCAGGGATCCTGGGAGAAATTATTGTGTGGTTGTATCATTAATATATCAAAAAGCATATATGAGAGAAAGGCAAAATAAGGCTGCATCAGTAGGAAGTGCTGGCATTAAGATTTGCATGTACTAGAGTTTGCAGCTTTAAAATGTACTTTTAATAGATGTGTGTGGTCTTCTAAAGCTTAAAAAAAGGCCACACAAAACAAACTAAAATTGAAAAAAGACCAGTCATTCTGTGGCTTTGCTGTTTAAGCAGATGCAAAATACTGAGATTGTTTTCCAAACCTCTTCCTCTCAAAGGGAATATAAGGGGGGTGGGGGGAGGAACCAAGTGGAGACACTAACCCATGTAAAGTACTATCGCAACCTATTAAGAGGGCTTACAAACACTGTTGCTGGGCTCTTTAAACTAGTAAGATTCAGATCATATTAATTGATGCTACTAGCATCACCTGTAACAAATGTTATGCTACAGGTTATTTTATGAAATGTTATTTCTGTGGAGACATATTGTTGATCCTGCTGTAGTTGGCCTTATTGTGCTAGAAGTATCGGTTCTTATAATCTCCATTTCTTTTCCATAAGCTTTGCTCGATAGAAGTAACGTGTGAATCGGCAAGTGTGATGGCAGCAACTCTGGCTAATGGTGGCTTTTGCCCGATCACTGGTGAAAGAGTACTGAGTCCTGAAGCAGTCCGGAATACCTTGAGTTTAATGCATTCCTGTGGCATGTATGACTTCTCAGGGCAGTTTGCCTTCCATGTAAGTAGTTTGCAGATATTAATTATAGATTACCAGGAAGATTAATCTGTGCTCTTGGTTTCCATGTTCCAGGGCTGGCTTGCTTGCTTCTAGGGTAAGGAAGGGGGCATTACATGAATTGTTTAGAAATTGAACAAACCATATGGGGGAAATCTCACCTAGAATTCATGGCACAACAAATACACCATACCTTATAGTAGTTACTGTTCTCTGCCGCTTCACATTTAGGAATCCTTTCCTAAAGGATTAAAACATGTTAAAACATAAATACTGTCCTTTAAGAGAGGCTGTTCATAAGAGAAATAGGTGATTGGTGCAGAGGTAACTGGAAACTGCGTAACTGAAGAAATCCTACTATGTGGGAGCAAAGGATAGCAGAAAGCCCTTGCAGATAGTTGCTTTTTCTTCATTGAATCACACTGTTTCATGTATTGTTCTTGTATGTTGTGAAGGTGGTTGTCATACACAGCATATCTACCATGCTTCTGTTTTTCAGCAGTACATTTCTTGTCTGCAAGTATTTCAAGATATACTGCATGTTACTTGTGTTTTCAGCATTTTGTTCTGAGAGTTTCTAGTTTTTCCTCATTACACATGTGTAAAATTGATTATGATGCTTTGTGTGATGTAAAAGTTATTGCTTACTGCACTGTGGGGATATATGACATGTTAGTTGTATTGGAAAAAAGCAATACCTTTATCCAGATTGTAAATAAGTACGTTATTTTATGGCTTTGTGAACAGACTCTTCTGTTTTCTTGGGTTTTTGGTTTTTGCTTTTTCCATTCAAGGTTTTTTAATGTATGGAGCTTTGTACTACTCTCTTGTTGCAAACTGTTCGTGACAGATACACTTGTGTCCTACTACTTAGTCATAATTGGGGTTTTTTTATAATAGAGTAGAATTATCTTTTTCACTGTATTACTGACTGTTACTGAGAGGAAATAACTTTATGATTGCATAACTCGAGCTGTGCTTCAGGTCGTTGTCTATCTAAAAAGAGATCAGTAATAATGCTTTCCCCATCTTAAATTACTTACTGGATCTACATTTTACAAATGTTGCTTAATAATCTTCAGTTAAATGCTAGTGCATTGTGTTACAATAGTGAAGAATGTTTGCAAAGGACAGTAACTGATTATTCTATAGGTTGGTCTTCCTGCAAAATCTGGAGTTGCTGGTGGGATTCTTCTGGTTGTTCCTAATGTCATGGGCTTGATGTGCTGGTCACCTCCTTTGGACAAGATGGGCAACAGCGTTAAAGGAATTCACTTTTGTCATGTAAGCAGCATTGCCTTTAGTGTTTGTTTTTTTTTTTTCTTTTGCAGCTGATACTTACTGAGCTTCAGTTAATATAGCTGAGATCTAAATGAATTAAATAGTGATTCCTTACTCTTCCATACATAGCCAGATTCATCTGATCCAAGGGTGAAAGGCCAAGAAGATATGTTTGCATTTCAGTAATTAATAGCACTGTAATTCAGTGAGCATTTAGAAAATACAATGCCAAAAACACTGGAGAAATTTATTGTAGAAAAGCTTTGAAAAGGAACACTTCATGAAGTAATGAAGGATCTGGTCTTCTATGTACTGCATTAGAAGCTGTAGAGCTTTGTTTATAGGCTTCTCTTTCTCTCCAGTCATAAATAATTTTCAAAACATTGGAAATGCAAATCATTTCATTACAATAAAAGAAAAAGATGGTCGTGAAATGTTGCTGTTCTGTTATATTTTTAAACAGATTTTTGTAAATAATCTGACATAAAAAATGTATTTGTACATCAGATCACGTTGTTGGGCAAGCTCTTCCTAGTTTTGAAAGGGCTCTGGACAGCCTGTTTATAGCAGCATTAGAAGGAGGAGAGATTTTTGTAGGGTAGTTTGTAATGATTAATAAAGATGTTTTGTGGGGAAGGAGAAGTGAAGTGTAAAAAAAAAAAAAAGTTGTCTTCCTTTTTATTTTATCCTGAAAACCACCTTGTAATACCACTTAAGTAATTACATATAAATGGGGAAAAAAAAGTCTCCAAAAGGAAGATTAGGCTATATAGAGCCCCATAGGAAATGTAACATTGTTGGCAGTGTTTTGGAAGTTGAAGGCATAACCAGGCTCTCTTTCTTTTTTCCCTTAAGCTTCAGTGATATTAGTTTGGATGAACTGTTCCTGGGGTGAAGACGTGTATGACTAGTCTTCACTTAGTTTATCCATAACAGCATAGGATTTGCAGTATGTAAGGCGTTAGGTTATGTGGATGAGCAGCAGTTAAAACTTCTCATACTATTTATCTAACATCTGTACAGCTGCAAATTAAGAGTACTAAGAAGTTACTAATTCTAGTTTAAATACTTTAAAGTTTAATGTGTACTTGATAATTTAAATACAAAATCATAGAACAGTAGGTAGGCAAAGGTTTTACTGCATTTATTCTGTATTATAAGACCTAAAAAATTATAGATTATTATGACATACGAGTAACATTAATGTAACACTTTTAAAAATACAACAGCAAAGGAAAGTTCTGTAATGATAACATTTCATGTTATAATTCAAACTGAATTCAGATCAATTATGTCACACATATTGTTTCATCCTTCTGATTTAATTCTGAAGTTTTATGTACTAGACTGTCCCAGACTATTCTTCCTGTTCCTTAAGTGTTTAATAGAGCTGGAGTAGAAATATATTAAACCAGATATTTTTCAAATTCCTACCTGTTTTGTATTTCCTTAAAAAGGAGTTTAAAGGTGTTCTTAGAACTTAATAATATCACTGTATTATGTTCAAAGGGCCTTACAGACATTGGTACTAGTTATTAAATAAGCTTCTCCTATGACTCTTTTATGATGTAAAACATAAGTGGTAGTATTATTATAATTCATATGCATTTGACTACCGTATGCAAATAATAATAATGTTTGTTCTTTAAATATTTGCAGGATCTGGTTTCTTTGTGCAATTTCCACAACTATGATAATTTGAGACACTTTGCAAAAAAGCTTGATCCTCGCAGAGAAGGTGGTGATCAGCGGGTAAGTTAATATGTGTGTTTAGCAAGTATTGTTTGTAGACATCAGAAGAAATACAGAAGGCTCTTCTCTAAATGCAGAACTGCTCAATGACATGTATTGCATCAAAACTTTCAGGTAAACTAGTTACTACACATTGTTAGTGGACACTTACCTGGGTGGACCACACCGTCACAGGGTTTTGTATAGTAGAATTTCATATTAGATTTTTAACTCCATTTTATGCAGTTCATCTCCCTTGCTAGAGTAAGTATATGGTATCTGATAAAAGATGCAAAGAGTTTTACTGTTCTGGTTGCCTTTAATAAAGATTTGACCAGCTGCTGGGCTTAGCCTTTCTGTTCTGTGCTGCAATGCATGAGATGTATGTTTAGCAGTTTTTCACAGTGATATTTCTGAGAACACATGACTTGGTGAGAGTTGCACACGCAGTGAATTCAGGTGTGTTAGTGCTGTAGACAAGTGTCTGTTACCAAGGAAGTGTTATAAGCAAACTCTGGGAATGAACTGAATCCACTCCAGCTACATGTACAAAAGATAAAAGTGTGAGGGTGCTTGAGATAAGGAAAACATATTTGCTTTTATTGCCATTAATGTTTTAACTAAGGCATGAAGATTTCAATAGGAGAAGATAACAGTAGAATGATTTTTAAAGTGCTTCTAATTGCATGTGTTCGTCTAAAAAATACCCAATTTGGAATTTGAATTTTTTGTAACTCGAAAAGAGAAAGTAACGGTTTATGTGAAGAGGTGAAAAACTTGAGTCTGTTAGCATTGACTGCAAGTATGGATTTTTTTCCTTCAAATACACTAATAAATAATGTATGTTGCTTGAACAACTAGCATTCCTTTGGACCAATGGACTATGAGAATCTCCAGCAAGAACTTGCTTTAAAAGAAACAGTATGGAAAAAAGTGTCACCTGAATCAAACGAGGACATCTCCAGAACCGTAGTGTATAGGATGGAAGGTCGGGGAGAACAAAACTAAACGAATGGGTTCTAGTTTTATTAAATTCTTCATTTTAAAACCCCTCATGCATCTCTAGATTTAACTTTTGATTTGAATATTGTTTGCCTGGTGTTTCATTTATATATACATTTTGTATAAATTCTGTATGCTATACCAAAAAGACTGTCGAAGTTCACGGGAGGGGGGAAAGCACATGCAAACAACAAAAACCAAAACTGTTAACTGACTTTTGTAGTTACTGAGAACACATTTACTTTAAAAAAAAAAAAGGGAAAAAAAAAAAAAAGAAAAAGGTAAATCTGAATGTTTTAAAAGATATACTACTTTGTGTATATCTGTTTATTTTTGTTTATATCTGAGAATTTTAAGTAAATTACAGCTAAGGAAGAACTTACGGTGTGTCCTCTGATCAGGGTCAGCATGTAAAGAAAGAAGAATTTTAATTAAAATATAAAGTAAAAAAGGGTCAGCAAAATACAGCAAATTCACAAATCTCTAAATAATTGTATATTAAGTGGAGATAGATTCTGAGTAATGTTATTGCTGTATTCTCTTTTTTTTTTTAATATGAGCTTTCAAATTGCTTAGAACAGAAATGGATCCTTTGGATATGCCATGCTAGTGAAGATTTTTTTTTTTTTTATCAGTCCTTTAATAACTATTAATGCTAACATTTAAATAAAAAGAGCAAAAATGGCTGGGGAGAAGTGGGAGGAAAAACTCTGCCTTGTTTGCAAGTTAACTAATGCAGTAGAAAAATTTTGTACCAAACTATTTTGAGTGTCTTGCTAGCTGCTTGTATTGCCAGCTGGTAGTTATGACTCAGAAGTCTGCCTTACTAATAATGCTGTGCTCCACCCTAGAGAGGAATGTAAGCAATCTTGGTTTGAGAGTGGTAACCAGTTGAGTAGTGAGCAGGAAATATATTCAGAGCAAAGCAGATAGGTAGATATTAATAAAACTGTTTACAATTAACTTATTTTTCAACTGCTAATGTGTGTGCATGTTCACATATATGGTCAGAGGTTTCATTTACTTAAACATGAGCAAATTTTAAAAAATTACAATTAATTGCTACTTTTAAAAATGATACTGAGTTTGCACCTCTGTCAGCTTGCAAGAAGCAGGACTTGCATTCTTCTACAGGCAACCTCATCTTTCATCTGCATAATTTGATAATTTTAAGTGTCTTGAGTAGAGTATATATGAAAGGGTGTATGTAAGCTTTGAATAGGCTCAGTAGGCAGCGCTGAACAGAGGGCACAGACTTGCTAAATTCTTGATACTTATAGCTATTACATTCTTAATGATGCTGAAAATCTTGGAAAATTATTCTATATTTTTAGAAAGTTTTCCCCTTTAAAAGCTTGCAGATAATTTGATATATCCCACCCTCATGCACATCATACAGAATCCTGTTTATAAAACTTCTGAAAACTTGAACAAGTAATGATAAATGGTATTAGCTGGTGGAGTATTTTAAGAGACAGTGACAGACAATTCCTTAGTAATACCTCCACCCCTTCTCCCTGCCCCTTCCCCCAATCCCACTCCTTTTAGTTTATCTAAAACTCCAAAATGCATTCATACATGAGTTTTGCATAAGGGGAGAGTTAGATTTTTCCTGCCCCGTTTTGTCCCGTCTGGATGTTTGTGAGTTAAGGAAGCTGTGAATAAAGCAAAACTGATGTTCTCTGAGAAAGCAAGCTGTTCTTAATTACTCTGTTTAGGTGGTGTTAGTTTTGCATAAACATTTGAAATAAGCTCTGACTAAACCCTGAATAATCTTCATCTAGCAGTGTATTGTAAAAGGATGGGCTTCCTGTCCTTGAAGCGTAAGATTAAAATGTCTAAGCAAAGCAATACAGAATATCAGTTTTCAGTGAATTTGAAGTCCTACTGGGATGAAGAAGTAAATCTGTGGTGCACATGTCAGTAATAAATGTCAGTCATAAATTGCTGAATAATAGCTGTTTTGTAATCTTACCACTGATGATAAGGTTAGGTTTGTCGGTGCTTATTTTGAAAATAAAGTAAAATAACTAAAGGCACAGTCTTAAAGATTTTACAGTAAACTAGTAGTTATGGAGACATAACAGGCATTCAGATCCTGCAAAATGACATGTCTTTACCTGAAATACCCTCATTTGCAAGAGGGAACATAACGTGTCTGTGCTGCTAATGAAAAGTATTTACAGTGATGACATGTTGCTGGTTAAATTACTGATGTAATTAAAAAAGGAAAACGTATGATGCAGGATTTGCGTGATGCAATTCTATACGGATAACTTTCTGACTTTAGTACTATTTCAATCTAATTCTAAAAGCATAGTTGAAGATGGAAAATTGTTCCATCTGTATTTCAACGTGAAAATAAAAATCTTGACCTGATTTATGTTTGTCAGTTACAAACCAAACTTGTGGTAGAGGCAATCCTGCACGGGAAATACAAAATTAAGAAAACTACTAGATCTTTAATGTGCATAATAAGAATATTTAAGGTACAGCTTACACAATCTTTACTTTAGAGATATATATTACAGAACTGTAATACGTGCTTTTGAAACCTGTCTCAGAATTTAAGCCAGCCTCTAGTTAGAAGTCAAGAGGAGACTACTTTGGGCCAATTATTTTGTAACTTGCCTTGGCACACAGTTTCTTGTTCTGGCCAGCCGTGTCTGCAGTGGCTCTTGTTCATGGCAGGGCACACAGATAGCTGGGACCAGAGTTAGGTCTGCCATGACAACATCCCCATGCCTGCACTATGGTGAGCAGGCCTGAGAGAATGCGGTGATAGAGGCTAGTCACTGGATGTTTGAAGTCTGCAACGGTTCTAGTGTTCACCTGTGCTACAGTAATAGCAATTCTTGATATTCAAGCATTTTAGCTGTTTGTTTGTTTTTTCTTTGTCAGCATCATTAACATTTCATTAGAAATGTAAATGCTTTTTAAAGTTTTATTTTAGCATTTGTGTTGTACTTTTTGGCTCAGTTGTTAAGTTACCTGTCTCGTTTCCCATTTTTCATTTGCATTGTATGTTATTTATGTATCTCAATTTCCAGCATGCTTATTTTTGTATTGTTTAATAAATTTATTTTAAGCTGATTTTTATTGTATTTTTTTTTTTATCTCAATGGAGAACAGATTTGTTCAAACACATTTTTGATACTGAAGTAAGATAGTGAGTGCTCCATTCTAAAAAAGATAAAAGTTCTGGAAAAGTAAGTGGAATAAGCAGATTTAGTTAAACCAGTCATTGAAAACCTTCCTAAGATTTCTTAAACATTTTGTACAATAATCTAATTACTTTTCTCTTTGAACTGGCATCTTAGAAAGTTGAAAACAAAAATCAAAGTAGTAAAGCTTTCTCACTGTGACTTTTCTAATAAAATTGTCATGGTGCAGTAGGTTATTAACATCACTGTGTATTTGTGTGGTTTTGAAGATACTAATTCAGTCACTTGGAAAATACGTGGTTAATGGTACCAGTGCCAGGGTGGTGACTGTTGATCCTGAGTGTTACAGAGTGAAAAATACAGCTTGTAATAAATCACACATAGCAAGGAAGGTGGTCCAAAACCCTCGTCCTTGTAGTAGCAACAGTGGGATCTGAACACGGTTAGGTGAATCTGGGTTCCTGGCAAAGCACTTGCCCTTTGTCACAGGCTTGCTTTTTTTTCTCATGAAAATTTATTCGAGATAGTAAATAGTAGATGTATTTATAAAGTGATGGTTCCGAGGCAAGATTTTGTCCCTAGAGACATGTGCGTACTGAGGATGGCTGTAATTATTAATTTAACTTTTCTGTCAATTGGTTTATAAATTGCAGTTGTTTGTACTGTCTTTTTAAAATTAGCTGTATGTTTATTGTACATAAAATACCTCGTATTAAAAGAGTTTAATATCTTAATGTTATGGAGGTGAGGAAAGGTAGAAGAGAATTAGATACAGAGAACCATAGGTGATTTACTGTAGAATTATTTTGGCTCTTATATTTTGGTTTTCATTGTACATTTGTGTCAAAAGACCAG